GGTAGTCCTCCACTTATGACCAAAATTGATCCCAAAATGTCTGTTGCTAAGTGAAAATTTGTTAAGTGAGTTTTGCCCCACATGACCACTTTTTCTTGCCGCAGTTGCTAATTGAATCGCTGCGGCTGATAAGTTAGGGACCCGGTTATTAAATGCAGAGATTAATTTAACCATCCTGGCAAGAAGGGTTTTAGAATGGCCCCAAACTCACTTCATAAAAAGTCTCACTCGGGGCTCAACTGGCGGTCGTAAGCCGAGGACAACATGCATTTTTAGCATTTCCCCGTCTTTTCTTTTTCATGGTGCATTTTGCACCGCAAAATTCATGAAGGCAGCGAAAGAGACCGGCTTGAGAGGGTCACCTGAGCTGGGTGCTAAAATTAAGTCTCTGCCTTTTTGCAATGTGTTGTAAACTGTGTGAGGAGATCCATGGCAATCCGCAACGGGCCAAAACGATTATTTGTCACTTGGGCGCTGCCCAAAAAAAAGGAAAAGAAAAAAAAACCAACCCAGGGGAAAAAAAACCCCACAGGCTTGTATAAAAAGTAGAGTCATCCATTAAACAAATAAAGTCATGGAAACTAAAACTGAACATTTTGATGTATTTTTTTTTTTTTAGGGAGTTAAGACAGCCAGTTCCAGATCGGGTGCCAAGAAGGACGGATTGTATTAAAAAAAACCCGGGACGTAAATCATATGAAATAGTCCGATAATGAATTCACATCTAAGCCTGTCTGTTTACACATTTAGGCTGACTGATAAGTTGTGAAGTCATAAAAATGAGCTGGTGATAAAGGGGAAAATAGGATTCACGCTTGCATTAATATTTCAACGTAGTTTGCGCTCAAGATACTCGACAGCCGCCTCCAGGGGTCATGTCGTCACCATTGGCGGACTTCCCACGAGCAAAGTCAATGGGGTTAAGTTGGGTTCAGTTAACGACCCTGTGATTCACTTAACAACTGTGGGGCTTCATTTAACAATTGCCACGGAAAAAAAAAAAATCTTCCAGCCGGGCACAACTCACTCAGCCATGGACAATCCAGTAACAACTGCGATTGTTAAATGGAGGACAGCCTGTAATCACCAATGAGCAGGTTATACAGAGTAGAGTAGAGTAGAGTAGAGTAGAGTAGAGTAGAGTAGAGTAGAGTAGAGTAGAGTAGAGTAGAGTAGAGTAGAGTAGAGTAGAATAGAATAGAATAGAATAGAAAATAGAATAGAAAATAGAATAGAATAGAAAATAGAAAATAGAATAGAAAATAGAATAGAATAGAAAATAGAAAATATAGAATAGAATAGAATAGAATAGAATAGAATAGAATAGAATAGAATCTGGAAGAGACCTTGGAGGTCTTCTAGTCCAGCCCCCCGCTCAAGCAGGAGAACCTATATCGTCTCACACAGGTGGATGTCCAGTCTCTTCTTAAAAATCTCCAGTAATGGAGCACCCACAATTTCTGGTGGCAAGCTGTTCCACTGGTTAATTGTCCTCCCTGTCAGGACGTTTCTCCTTAATTCCAGGTTGCTTCTCAGCTCAATCAGTTTCCAACCATTGTTTCTTCTCCTGCCCTCTGGTGCTTTGGTGAATAACGTGACCCCCTCTTCTTTGTGGCAGCCCCTCAAATACTGGAGCACTGCTATCATGTCTCCCCTATTTCTTCTTTTCTTTAGACTAGCCAGATCCAAGTCCTGCAGCCGTTCTTCGTATGTTTTAGTCTCCAGGGCTTGGATCATCTTAGTTGCTCTTCTCTGAACTTTTTCCAAACTCTCAACATCTTTTTTGTGATATGGTAACCAAATTTGGCTGCAGTATTCGAGGTGTGGCCTCACTAGGGTTTTATAAAGCGGTACTAATACTTCGCGTGATCTTGATTCTATGCCTCTGTTTATGCAACCCAGGATTGTATTAGCTTTTTTGGCTGCTGCCGCACACGGCTGGCTCATAATCAAATGATCATCCACCAGGACTCCAAGGTCCCTCCAAGCCAGGTATCCCCCAATCTGTACTTTGGTTTTTCCTGCCTAAATGTAAGTGCTTTTCTCCACATTGAAACTCATTTTGTTGGATAGGGCCCATGGTTCAAGTCTGTCAAGATCTTTTTGGATCCTGAGCTTGTCTTCTGGGGTGTTGGCTACTCCTGCCAGTTTAGTGTCATCCTACTGGCACGGAGGGCCCCTGATGCTGGCGCACAAAATACCACGTCAACTTACTTGTTTCATTGCTTGCTTCTTTAGGGCTTCCCGTTTAAGGCTCTCGCCGATGGAAGACTGTGAGGAAAGAAAATTAAGGTGAGTTAATAACTCATTATAAGCAGGGAAAATCTGGGTGCCAGGCTCTACTTATAATATATGGAATGGAATAGAATATAAAGTAGAGTAGAATAGAATAGAAAATACGAAATGGAATAAAATGGAACGGAATAGAATAGAAAATATGGAATGGAATGGAATAGAATAGAATAGAACAGAACAATGAAGTAGAATAGAATAGAATAGAATAGAATAGAATAGAATAGAATAGAATATATGGAATAGAATAGAATAGAATAGAATAGAATAGAATAGAATAGAATAGAATAGAATAGAATAGAACAACGAAGTAGAATAGAATAGAATAGAAAAAAGAATGGAATAGAAAATATGGAATAGAATAGAATAGAATAGAACAGAATAGAACAGAATAATAAATAGAATAGAATAGAATAGAACAATGAGGTAGAATAGAATAGAATAGAAAAAAGAATGGAATGGAATAGAATAGAATAGAACAACGAAGTAGAATAGAATAGAATAGAAAAAAGAATGGAATGGAATAGAATAGAATAGAATAGAATAGAAAAAAGAATAGAATAGAATAGAACAGAACAATGAGGTAGAATAGAATAGAATAGAAAAAAGAATGGAATAGAAAATATGGAATAGAAAATATGGAATAGAAAATATGGAATAGAATAGAATAGAACAGAATAGAATAGAATAGAATAGAATAGAATAGAATAGAATAGAATAGAATAGAATAGAATAGAATAGAATAGAATAGAATAACAGAGTGTCAATGCTGCTGACATTGGATGTTTTGCATTGACAACAGATGGAAATGTAGCCATCTTTTACCTTTTGCTTTTAGAGTTAGATGATGCTGGGGAAGGGTGTGTGAATGAGAGTCCAGCTAGACATAACAACACTAAACTTAGCGGTGAGAATCAAGGTTATTGTAACCAGAGCTGATAAGGAATTGGCGGGCTGGAGAGCTGGAGAGGAAGCCCTGTGCTCCAAGCAAATTGAGGAATGTGATTTATGACAGTTAATTGGAGGAGGGAATTGTGCTTTGATACTAGGTGCTCAGGGGAGGGGAATTCAGTTTTTGGCTTCGATTATGCAGTGCCGATATTTTGCAACTCGAATAAAAGATTCTTTAAGGTAAACAATGCCTCAAAGTTCTTTTGAAGAGTTTCATCTGTCGGGAACCATGACACAGAGTTGGATGGGACCTTGGAGATCTTCTAGTCCAACCCCCTGCTCAGGCAGGAAACCTTATACCATTTCAGACAAATGGTTGTCCAGTCTCTTCTTAAAGACTTCCATGTTGGAGCATTCACAGCTTCTGGAGGCAGGTTGTTCCACTGGTTAACAGAATAACAGAGTTGGAAGGGATCTTGGAGGTTTTCTAGTCCAACCCCCTGCTCAAGCAGGAGACCCTACGCCATTCCAGAATTACAGAGTAATAGAGTTAGAAGGGGCCTTGGAAGTCTTCTAGTCCAACCCCCTGCTTGAGTAGAAGACCCTAGACCCCTTCAGACAAAGTAAAGTTCTACATTTAGAATGCAGAGAAGAGCAACAAAGATGATCAGGGGACTGAAGGCTAAAATATACAAGGAACGGTTGCTGGAACGGTTGCTTGAGTAGGAGACCCTAGACCCCTTCAGACAAAGTAAAGTTCTACATTTAGGCAAGAAAAACCAAATGTACAGGTATAGTACATTTGCTCAATAGTAGTAACTGTGAGAGGGATCTCGGAGTCCTAGTGGACAATCCCTTAGATAGGAGCCAGCCGTGTGCTGCAGCTGCCAAAAAAGCCAACACAGTGCTGGGCTGCATTAACAGAGGGAGAGAATCAAGATCACGTGAAGTATTAATACCACTTTACAAGGCCTTGGTAAGGCCACACTTGGAATACTGCATCCAGTTTTGGTCACCACGATGTAAAAAAGATGCTGAGACTCTAGAAAGAGTGCAGAGCAACAAAGAAGATCAGGGGACTGGAGGCTAAAATATACAAGGAACGGCTGCTGGAATTGGGGATGTCTAGTTTAATGAAGAGAAGGACCAGGGGGGACAGGATAGCAGCCTTCCAGTACCTCAGGGGCTGCCCCAAAGAAGAGGGAGTCAAGCTATTCTCCAAAGCGCCTGAAGGCAGGACAAGAAGCAACGGATGGAAACTCATCAAGGAGAGAAGCAACCTAGAACTAAGGAGAAACTCCCTGACAGTGAGAACAATTAACCAGTGGAACAACCTGCCTCCAGAAGCGGTGAATGCTCCAACACTGGAGGTTTTTAAGAAGAGACTGGACAGCCATTTGTCTGAAATGGTATAGGGTTTCCTGCCTGAGCAGGGGGTTGGACTAGATGACCTCCAAGGTCCCGTCCAACTCTGTGTCGTAGTTCCGACAGATGAAACTCTTCTAAAGAACTTCCAGGCAATGTTTACCATCATTATTATTATTATTATTATTATTATTATTATTATTATTATTATTATTATTATTATTATTATTATTATTATTATTATTATTATTATTATTATTATTATTATTATTATTATTATTATTATTATTATTATTATTATTATTATTATTATTATTATATTATTATTATTATTATTATTATTATTATTATTATTGTTGTATTATTATCATCATCATTACTACTATTACTATTACTATTATTACTATTATTATTACTATTACTATTATTACTATTACTATTATTATTATTATTATTATTATTATTATTATTATTATTATTATTATTATTATTATTATTGGTTGTCCAGTCTCTTCTTAAAAACCTCCCACGAGGGAGCGTCCACTGGCTCTAAGGCCGAACAATGGCCTCTTTCTTCTGCAGAGCATCCCATTTTGTCTCCACAACGGATCTTTCCTGCATGTCCCACCTGCAGGCAGGTGAGTCTCCAACGTTCCTCCTGGGTTGAACCGGGGCCCTTCGCCCACGTGTGGAGAGAGCCTGAGTGAGCAGAATCCTCTTTTTCACCACCTCTCAAGGACTAGGTGAAAAATGGATTTTTATTTTCCCCCCTCCCAACTCCTCCTGGCAGCCGGCGAAGTTTTCCAGTCCTGCTGTGACTCATCTTGAAGGTCAGGATTTCATACCAGCCCCCAAAAGATGGTGTCACCACCGGCTTCGTAACGTTAGCAGCTGCTCTTTTTCGGCTGGGGTGTCCAATTTAAGCACGCTCCCTCAGCCTCTTTGAACACTTTTGAGTGATGAGCTCTGCAACTCTACGCGCGAAGGACCAGGAATCAACTCATCCGACATCCCACCCTGTGCTTCGTGCTGACCTTCAGCCAGGGGACGCCGAGATCCGGACGGTGTTTGGACCAGGAATCAACTCATCCGACATCTCACCCCGTGCTTCGTGCTGACCTTCAGCCAGGGGACACCGAGATCCCGACGGTGTTCCCTGGCCTTTTCGCTCGGATGCCTCAGGCTGCCTTCCAGCCTCGTCAACGTTTCTGAGAATGAGTGTGTGTGGGGGGGGGCTCTGAGGCTGACCCCACCCCAGGACGACGTGTTTGCAACTGGGTGATTTGGGACGTGGGGGTCAAGAAGGGAGGAGGACTCGTTAAGCTGGAACGGCAGAACATTTGGGAAATCTTTCCCCGGGTTCGGCTTGCTTTGGGGTTTCCCAAAAGCACCTCTGGAGAAAAAACAAAAACAAAACATGGTCTACTTCCTGCCTGAGCAGGGGGGTTGGACTAGATGACCTCCAAGGTCCCTTCCAACTTTATTATTGTTATGGATCATCGCACCGTCAGCCAGATGTTCAGACCGGATTTGGCATTTTTGTCTACCTATCGAGTCCTTACCAAGGACCTGGGATGATGATGATGATGATGATGATGATGATGATGATGATGATGATGATTAGAGTCCCCCAAACTTTTGGGGTTGGTGGGCCAGAGTGGGGGGAGGGGGGAAAGAAGGGATGGTTGTGTAGGGGGGAGGTGAACGCATGTGCACGCATGTGCGTGCGAACGAACACACCTTACTAGTGCAAGGGAGGTCGTGAGCACCCACAACACTCACGCAAATGGGGGTGCACATGTCCGCAGTGACACTTGAGTAAGTGGGGCGCTACGCGTGTGCGTGCACGCGCGTGCAGCCACGATATAAAACGGATGTTGAGATCCAACCGTTGCTAAGCGAGACATTTGTTGAGTGAGTTTTGTCCCGTTTTACGATTTTTCTTTGTTAAGTAAGGTAAGGTTCTACATTTAGGCAAGAAAAACCAAATGCACAGGTATAGTATAGGGCCGTGGTGGTGAACCTATGGCCCGGGTGCCAGAGGTGGCACTCAGAGCGCTGTCTGTGGGCACGCGCACCGTCGCCCCAGTCCTAGGCCTTCAGCTGGGTTTTATAAAACCTTTTCTCTTTAGGCCTCCGCCGCCGTGTGCAAAAAAAAAAAAAAAAAAGTTCAATCAATCAGTCAATTTCAACTTCTCGCGGGAAAAAAAAAGATCTTGCAAAGTTGGAATTGATTGATTGAACTTTTTAGTCCCACCCAGTCTGCCGTTATCAATGGGCCACGCCCACCCGGCACCTGACGATGTATAAGTGGGTTTGGTGTTGCAGTTTGGGCACTCGGTCTTTAAAAGGTTCGCCATCACTGGTATAGGGGGTACCTTGCTCAATAGTAGCAACTGTGAGAGGGACCTCGGAGTCCTAGTGGACCATCCCTTAAACAGGAGCCAGCCGTGTGCTGCAGCTGCCAAAAAGGCCAACACAGTGCTGGGCTGCATTAACAGAGGGAGAGAATCAAGATCACATAAAGGGTTAATACCACTTTACAAGGCCTTGGTAAGGCCACACTTGGAATATGGTGTCCAGTTTTGGTCACCACAATGTAAAAAAGATGCTGAGACTCTAGAAAAAGTACAGAGAAGAGCAACAAAGATGATTAGGGGACTGGAAGCTAAAACATATCAGGAACGGTTGCTGGAATTGGGTCTGTCTAGTTTAATGAAGAG